TAGTGTAGGGGAGAACAGTACATAACGTACCCCCGGGGTAAGACGCACTTTTTCGTTTTATTTTGAGTTTTTCTTGGAATTTTCAATCCAATTCTAGGATTTATCATGCAGGATTTTGAGTACAGATGCTATGCTAGAAGTGCTGCTTGATAAGACAACAAAAAAGTTGCGTAAAAGCTATGAAAAACACAAATGAAAGTCAGCTGGTGCGTTCTGCCCAGGGGGTGCGTTGTATACCATTCTCCCCTAAATAATCTAAAATTAAAATTATCACTCGCGATGCCACAAATTTATGGACCGGGAGAAAAAATCAAACAACGCAGATCAGTTGCATGGTAATTACTAAGAAAAATTCAAGAGGATTTTCTTGTATTTTTAAGGAGAATTCTGTGATTTTTCTGAATAAAACCTGGTTAATGGGGTGTTTACACTTATGCTACTGTACTAGCGCTAATGAGCCAGCTGCTAGCAAAAAGCTCACCAGCATAATGTAAACAGAGCATCAGCCTCTACCAGTATGATATTTCAGGAGCATCTGAAATTCGTGCTAGTTGGCTAGTACACTAGTGCCAGCAAATCTGCGCAGATGTAAACACCCCATGAATGAAAATCTGGACGCTGGTTAAGCCAAGAGCCGTTGCGTCCCAAAAAGAGCAGTACTTTTGCAGGCGAAAAATAAAAAAAAAATTATCTAATTGATCCGGGTTTTAATTGTATTATTCCTCTTTCTAGTGATGTATAAACATTCAAAAATATGCAAAGAAATTGTTGATCAAAATCATGTTTCAATAGTGTGTGTTTTGAACGCACTGCTCCAGCAGGTTAAAAGCTGAATAAGCTCTTATTCAGCGTTCAATGCTTGCTGGATAACAGTCCAAAGCAACAATGTTGACAGCATTTTGTTTACTATACTTTGAAAATTTTCTATATTGGTGAATTGATGGAAAATTGATAAACGCGTTTCAATGTTTAAGTTCAATAGGGAAATTAATTCTGCACAACTACCAGGAGAATCCCTCTCCTATTTATTTAAAAGTTTTTTGTTTTGTTTCGATCACTAGGGGCGCAATGGTACAGTGAAACCACCGACGAACCGACATGCCACTGGAACATTTCGTTTGTCCCCATATCGATTTGTCAAATGAGTGATCTGTCAAACGAGCTGAGACTGACGGATGAGTGGCATCTTGGGAAAGAATTTCAATGTAGCTTCTATGAGCTGTCACGTCGGATTGTCGGTGGTGGAACCTGCGTCCAGATTTACTTTCAACCAGATTTTAAGATATATTTTTGAGATGTCATGTAAAACTACCTGTTACTATTCGCAATGTTGAATGAATGTTGAACAATGTATCACAATTGTTCTTGTACACTAAACTTTCGCTAACTGCACTAACTTACTTTAAATATTAAAAAAAAAACTCTAATTTGCTTTGGCCAAGGCTGACCACTGTCGAAAAAATCAGCCGACGCCTTATTTTCGACAATTATTAAAAACAGTTGCGATGTTTACAAAAATCAAAAAGTTCCTTTCAGTTAGCGAACGTTTAGTATATCTTGTAAACTGGTTATATCAAATTCCTCTCTAGTTTGAATAATGAATGAGAGTCACCGATCATTATTCTATGTTTCTATTAAACATTTTTCTTTAATTTAACATAGGTTCATATTAAACTAATTTGAAAAAGTTTAATATTATTAGATAAAGAAATAATACCGAATTCTAAAGTTTAATTTTCATATACTCAATAATAACTTTATGCAAAACAAAACATTATTCATAATGAAAAACTTTTAAATCCATTACAAAAATACAGCGAACAATTTGAGTGACCATATAGGGGAAATGCAGGTAGTGTCGGCCTAAGTGTCCCTAATTTGAGCCCATACATAAATTCAGCAATCGACTAAATTTTCAATAGCAACCAAAAATATCCACTAGTAACGTCCCAACAACGCGTTCATCTAGTTAAAATTGATAAATAGCAGATTTTTAGCGATGGGACCAATCTTAGATCCATAGGCCAACATTAGAGCTATTTCCCCTATTAGTATTATTGGTTTTTCCCGGTTTTCCCGTTTACTTTTTAAATTCTCGGTTATTTCCCGGTTTTCCAGATTTTCCCCGTTCGCTGGCCATTCTATCTATAGCTGCGCCTTTACCAACTGAGCTAAAGAAATCACTTTTTTATACACCCATTTTTACCCATTTGAAGATTGCACTGTTCAAAGTTAGCTTTAGTTGAAATTTTTTATGTTATGAGATTTAGTTTGAGTTTCTTTGAAGTTATAAACAATACTTAATATGATTTGTTTTCACTCTCTACGACTCTTGCATAGCCTCCATGAACATATTTGATAACTTTTTGGATATTAACCAAAACGTATAAAGGTTTCCCAGCTCAAATTTTTGAATAAGTAGGGTTTATTATAATCATTGTATTGGTGCAGTTTCTATTAATCGTTTGTTCAGTTGGATTTGAAGCTGGAAACACAATTTGGGAAGACTTGATCTCCCCAGGAAACCCACTTAATTCTGAGGTATGTGTTTGAAAAAATATATAATTTGGCCACCAGTTATCCAAGAATGCCTGTAAAAATAATAAAATAATAGGAGATCAAGCCCCCTCCATTTCTAAAAAGGCGATTCTTGGCAACTTTAAGGAAAACGTATTTTTGGTAATGTATATATCATGTTAGAGTCTCGAGAGTATTTAAAAAGTTTCATAAGCCCAATCGCCTAACGATTTTTTTCAAAATGCGTGTTTGGACAACGCTCTGAAAAAAAACGTTCATATATTAATTTAAATATCACTTTGAAAGCATTAGAGTATTTAAAAAGGTACATGAGGGGTCATCCACACATTATGTAAGCGGGTAGAGAGAGTTCTCTCAACATTTCATACAGTTTATTACAATCGGGTGCTAACATTCAATAGTTTTAATAGATTTAATAGTTAGAAAAATATAAATTGATCGCTACCGATTTTATGACATGTACATACATTAAATAAGCATAAGATTAACTGAATTATTTATGTAAAAATGTTCTTTACTCAATATTTAACGATTTTCTAAGATATTTCTAAAAATACAAAAGATCCTAACAAATACAATATAAAAAGACCCACAGATATTTCCCTATTTTATATTTTTGCGAAAGTTAAAAATTGAAATAAGTATATTTCCAGTTCTAGTACCGTAAAACGGGATCGAGTTAACCAGTGGGGTGCTGTACTTGATCACACAAGTTTTTCATTATTTTTGTTCAAATATGATACTATAGATATAAGATTCATTCTTACGCCCTGGAAAAAAAACTATTGATCTTGAAGAAAACTGATGAGACATAGTCGTGATCAAGAAATAAGGAGGTGTTTTTCGGCAAACACATTCAAGAATAAGCAGCTAAAACGATATTTTGCTTTTCGGTGCTTTATTCCGTATTCTTCAGGGAATAAACCATCGAAATGTAGGGAAGTAGACACATAATATCAGGTCAGTGACAAAGCCTATACGAACAGCAGCGTTTGAAACGTTTGACGGGCCCAATGTCACGGTATAATATGATACCGATGCACCTACCACTGAGCTGCAAAATATCGATTTAGCTGATTATTGTAGACTTTGAGAGCCGAAAACCACCCCCTTAATTCTCATACAACAGTCGATCCCAGTGACCTAGTACACCCCACTGAACAACTCGACTCCGTTTCACTGTACCAGTGATCTTGAGTGTAAATCTGTAAATCAATTGAAATCAAAAACTGTTATTATTTTGAACAATTTTACCTACTGTCTCACGTTCCAGCAGGTGCTTCCAAAAATTTGGTATTTTGTAATAGTAAAATTGAACATATTTTTAGTTCTTTGGCGGACGTTTCAGCTCAATTGATCATAAGAGAACAAAGTTACAACTTGTCAAAGTTGACCATTTTGTATGGAAATCGGCATGCGTTGCTATTATATTGAGCACACTTTTTCTAAAAAAATTTATATGTATTATTTTTTCCGAAGAGTAATTATTTTGTCTCAGGCGTCATTTCGATTGGAAGTGACGTTTTCGAGTTAAGATTTATTAAAAAAATATTGAATACGCCATTTTGAATTTGTTAAAGATTAAAAATGGACGCATTTTAGTTCAAACGTGGATGGTTGGTCATAAAAAAACAATTAAGTAAAGTTTCCTACAAATCGGAGAAGGACGCGTCAGATCAATTCGTCATTTGGCATGAAAATGCTCTATATCAGATAATACAGATTCTGCACATTGTCTTGAAGTTAAGATCAAATGATCTACTATCAACTACGACTGCAACAATTCCCTTAGCAACGAAACTTGAACATGTTTGAAAGATTAATGTAGTCCAAGCGTATCAGCTAAGATTAATTTCCTTTGTCTTCTTTGAAATCCTATCATCTTGAAGTTTAAATCGTTCGATTCACTTGTTCAAGAAGAGGATTGTCAATTGCGTGGATACCTACACAGACTAACCCACATTCACGATACATAAATAAGACAGTTTAGAAAAATCATGAGAAATTGTTTGTTGAAACATTTTCAACTTGACACGCATCGCCAGTTGAAATGAGACATTTTGGACCGCATAACCCAAATCCAATAAATCTATTTGACGAGCCTTCTGATTTAGATGTGCGAACCGATTCATCATCGAAGCGAAACAAAACAATCTCCATAATGACAGCAAACGCCGCCAGTTATATGAGGCAAAAGCCCAACCCCGTCGCCATAGATCACCCGTACCGGCCAGCTGACAAGATCTATTGTCTATATCCACGCCACTAAATCATTCCCCATTCGAAGCGCTAAAGGGCAATTCTCACTAAACGCCGTCCAACACCATTCGCCGTCTCCACGCTCGGAAACATAATTGATGGCCTGAGCCGTTCTCGAATCTCGATTTTCCGATGATTGAACCTTGTCTGGGCGCGCGCACGCGTCTCTGCACACGAGGACGCCCAAACCGAAAGTTACTCACCTTCATTTAGGCCATTTTTATCTGAAAGCAAAGTAACAGAAAGAGCATAATTATTATGTGTTCGAAGCAGATTACACTTTAGCGAGAAAAACAGCAAACAAATCGTTAACGATTCTTGATTGCTAATTGCACTACAGCAAAAAAAAACATAGAGAGAGGCGCCAAGCGATTTCCCACTGAGGTCCCTCAAGCTGAGCTGACGACCGACGACGGCGTGCACACCGAAAATCAATTGGGGTCAAGTTCTGCACCACAATCACATGTAGAACACACGGGAACGACGCTCGCGGACAGAATGGCGAGTGGGCAAAAACGGTTAATGGACCTGATCATGAAACTGATTCAAGTGCGCTCGCCGCGCGGGCCGACAATGAGCGTCTCTGCAAGACAATGGTCATCATCGGACGTTCAATGTCACCTATCGTTATTGGATTTACACTATTTTTCCATCGATCGATCGCGCGCTGACTGATGCTGTGCTTGTGCACGATGCGGCTAAGATAGACTCGAAGAGCAGAACACCCGGATCGATTTCAATGACTAATTTACAGGGGCGGCGTTTGAAGAGGTCGTTTTACTGGGAAATTGAATCGTGTTTAAAAGCGTGAAGCGGTGACTGCTTTCAATGGGTTGTGGTTTTACACGGGTTAATTGTAATTAACATTTTTTTTCTTTACATTATTGTTCTATGCATTAAACATTGATGACGGTAAAATTAATATTGATGACTACGTGGTAGTAGAGTGGATGCAGTTTTTTTAAGTGATACACGTAAAACAAAAATGAACGATTTTATTTTCAGAGTTGGTTGGAAATGCTAACTAACATGAAGCTTTAGTGTGATAATTTATTAGCTAGAGAAAAGTCTGAAAAGGGCAGGTTGATAGCTCCGCTAGAGTACGGCAATATGAAATTTGATTTTATTAAATATCCGCAAGAACGTATTGCACTTTTTGTAATGCATTGTAACAAAATAAAATACCCATTATCAGTATCGAACCCAAAACCATCAGAATCGTGAGGCCGATTCCCTTAAAACCTTTTTCTCTGTCATGGCACAAACTTGGACTTAAAAAACCGCAAAAATCAACCTTTCTGTTTTGTTTAGGGTTCAACTTTTTTCATGACGAGATAGACAAAATGTTTTTACATTTAAATTTTATCAAGAATCTGTGGAAAAACTGATTTTTTTAAATTCAGGATATGGTAAAAGCCAATATCTTCAGAAAATAAAAAACGTTCAAAAAAAGGGCACTAAATACAACTATGATTTCCGAAAACTAGACAAATTTCTACGTAACATAGTACGGTTCATTTACTAGTTTTTACTGATTAATGTGTATTGGGCTATGTAAATTGATAAGAGAAATAGCAATTATATAAGAATTGTTATATCAACTAATTTTTAATCACACTCTTTTTTGACTGTTACTTTTTTTTTTGGATTCCTGAGACAATTTTCTATTAGAAAGCATTTAAATGTATTCAAATGTTTGATATTTAATACTCATTAATACTAGATAAATCCCAAAGCGAATACACATTTGGCCATTAAAGTGTTCACTTATTTCATAAACCTTGCCAGGCTTAACAATTTTTTTTCTTTTTTTTTTATTGCGTATCAAGATGGAGCTGCGTGACAGCTTAGTTTTCAATACTTGATCCATTTGAATAAATTTTGCTTCTATCTTTGACAGTACAGCAGAAGGACTAGCCTATGTTGGCCGCTTGATCACTGAATTCCGTATGTATTGTTTCAAGATAGTTATAGAAAAAATGCTGTGACGTGTGCGCGTAGATACATCCGCGTAGTAAACCGATTGAATAAGTAAATCCGTTTCGAACGAAATATCTAAATTATGTAAGTTACGAAAACCGCGCGAATTCCGAAAGCCGTGCGAGACAACCGAAGCGAGAAAAAAGGCTTATTATCATTTAAAGAGTGCCACCAAAATAAATGTGATAGCCTATGTTGGCAAGTTGATTAATTTTGGTTTCCTCCCTAGATATTCTACTTATTTACTACTGAGATTTGTATCAAATTAGTTAATTTAAAGAACGTATCAATCATTTCAAGATTTCGCGACCGCACCAACCAAATTCTATAAGCTTTTGAGCTGACAAGCTCTACCGAATTGCGTATCACTTCTGCGTAAGCTCCGTAGACGTAGGCGCGTTGAATCCGACAGTCGGCAAAGGTTTAACCTGTACCAACACCGCTTAAGGAACGACCTCGAGTCAGTGAAACCGTTTATAGCTAAACATCTAAATTACGTAAGATACGAAAATCGCGCAAATTGTGAACGCCACGCGAAACAACCGTAGAGAGAAAAACAACTTATTATCACTTAAAGAGTGCCACCAAAATAAATGTGATAGCCTATGTTGGCAAGTTGATTAATTTTGGTTTCCTCAATAAATATTCTACCCGCCAGTATCACACCCAACGTCAGTGCCTATACGTAAGCGTACTACGACGCGGCTCTCAATTAAAGGAGTAACAAGTGTGATACTATCACTGCTGGACTAGATCTTTGGTTCTCTCATGCAGTGGTTTATCAGAGAGGGGAAGCTTATTAATCCCCATTGCCTACCCATGACGCCATTCTATCGCGGCATGAGCCAGCAACGCCGACCGTAAACCTACCGTCTCCAACAAGCTGTGCAATGCTGTTGTATTTTATATGGACTGTTTCAATTTGATAGCAGTTTCATTATTCGAGCACTATTTTTCAACAATTTGCAACTGCTCGACTATTCTGTTTTATTTCTGAGCAGGTGTGAAACACGAATCGAACTCTGCTTCAAATTTCTTTGGATGTATTTATAGATGTTTCTCGAAAATGTTGAGAGATCTTCATAGTAGTTAAGAGGATTTAATAGACATTTGAGATTTTACTGAACTTCTGGGAACTTCTGAGAAGTTTGGGGTTATTTCATAGAAGTTCGGAAAATTACGAAGAGTTTCACACACAAATCGGAGAACTTCATAGAGAAAATTATTCTTTACGGAACTTGTATTTTTTTTTAAGTTTCAGGTAGAAGACATTCAGAATTATCATTGAAGATCAAGTAGTTTCAAAGAAGTGTGAGGTATTTTATAAAAGATCGCGGAACATCATACAAGTTCTGGAAATTTTATAGTTTATTATGTCATGTCTTTTACATCAAACAGATATTCTCTCATATGATGCCAAGCTGCTAAGAAATCATTCCAACGATCTGCACATTGTAGACGAAATAAGCGTATCTGTCAAGAATAAGCAAATAAGGTAGTGATCTTCAAGTGTTCTAAGATCTCCATGAAGTCCGCTTGATATTATTTCAAGACTTGAGGTTGATAAGGTATTATTCTAGAGATCTTCAACTATCCATCAATTCAAATCACATTATTTTTATTTATTACATTTATTAGATGTTCTCTCATGATACCAGGTTGCTCAGAAATTATTCAGTAGACGATCAGGTGATCAGAGGTCATATAAATTACTTTTTCAAGACTTAAGATTGACCAGGTATCATTCTGAAAATATCCAACTATCCAACAATCCAAATCATATCTCTCTGATATTCTCTCAGCTCAGAAATAATTCCAAAGCCTTCATGTGTTTTAAGATTTCCATAAAGTCTGGATAATTTTTCAAGACTTCATCTCGCAAATATTCTCCCATGATACTAGGTGACTCAGTATAGATTCAAAAGACCTTCAGCTGATCAGATATATCAGATTAAGTCTTCAGGTTGATCAAGTATAATTCTGAAGATCTTCAACTGTCCACCAAAATCACGTCTCTCAGATATTCACTCACGATACCAAGTTTGCTTAGAAGATGTTTCAAAGACCATCAGGTGATCAGCGATCTCCATAAATAATCAACAATCAAAATAACATCCCTAAGATATTTTCTCATGTGATCCCAAGCGTCCATTATTTCATATCCCTTCATGTGATCAGAGATTTTTTTTTCCAATCTTCATGTTGTTTAGATACTATTCAGAAGATATCTGGTTAATCAGGTACTATTTGGAAGATCCCAAACTTTCCAACAATCCAATTAATGCCTCTCAGATATTCCTCAGCAAACCAGATGACTCCTAATGTTTCCAAAGATCTTCAGGTGATCAGAGATCTTCAAAACTTTACTTCTAGTGGATAAATTATTCTGAAGATCTTCTACTGTCCAATAATACAAATCACGTCTCTCATATATTTTCTTATGACACCAGGTTGGTCAGAAATTATTTCAAAAGCCATCAGGTTCATATTCGTGCTAAAATCACCGAAGTAAATTTGCACTGTGCGTAGCGCTGATCGCGTTGCAGTTTCATTTCTGACAGTCTCAAATTTTAGAACTGTCGAGTAGTTTGAAACAATTTTGAAACTCAGCATTGCGAATGGCCTTATTCGATTGATTTAATTCAAAATTTGGTAAATAGGGTTAATGTCCATACACAAATTTCAATGGAAAGAATTGTTTAACAATTTTTAACAAGCAAGCTAAAATTTCTATTTCTTATGTTCATATGGCGCATTGTTTTAAAATAAATTGAAGAATTGGAGATTTTTATCGATGGGCCTAAGCTTAAGAGCCATTTCCCCTACATCATCAAATATAGTGGATTGAAGGCATAAAAGGCATGAAAATTCAAAATCGGTTTTAGAGATTTTGTCCGACCTGGTCCCACTCCTCCTGAGACCCTATATCGAGAATTCAATTCTGCAGCATGATATAGAGTATCTTAATATCAAACGCCATACATATTATTTCCAGTGTTAAATTTAGATTTTTAATAGGCCTATTTTGAATAGGCAGATATTTTAGGGATAATTTAAGATTAAAATAGGAAATTTTTAAGTTATTTATGGAAATTTAATATTAATAATGGCATAATATATTTTATCTCCGTTGTAATTTTTAAACTTTTCTATTGAAACTTTTCAATTTATCGTCGGTCGTTTACTAACTGTCACAAAAAATAAAACAATGCATTTTTTAAATATTCAAAACATTCAATATTTT